ATAAACGTCTTCTCACTATTACACTTACAAAAACTGTGTTATATTGCAGTAAACTGATGATTGAAGCTTTGTTTTAAATAATTCAGAAATCAACTGTAATCATATTTGGCATTTTCCCATAATTACCTGTTTCTCTTCCATTGTTATGATGAGATGTTTCCGTGTGGTTTTACTGTTCTTATGATGAACTATTATTATGTAGCTCATTTGCATAGTTTGTCCTTCTGCTATAAATGTTAAATGACTGTTGGACTCAACAAACAAATGCTGTTCTATGCTGTGTTTACGTACACCATGTACTTCAGCTGTTCACAGTGCTTCATAAATATCTTATCTTTGGTGTGTCAGTATTATGATCCCCAGAGGAAAGGAAAGGAATGCTTTGATGTCGTAAACCTCTGTCTTCTAATGTAGCTATATAGGACTACCTTCATCCTTGATCTCCAATAACCATCCACACAGCAAGCTATTGTTTAAATGATTAGTCCATTTGGTTTGAAATGGCTGGCTTTCTTTGCTCACTATTGGATGAAACAGCAGTCAACCTCTGCTGAGAGACAGGCTTGACTGAATTCAGAGTCCTGTAAAAGTAAGCATTTATTCCCAGCTTCTTCTGTCTGACTACGTTTAATCAGGAGACCAAAAGTGTGTTGTTCCCTCACCCTAACAACTCAAAGAGCATAAAATGAAGCCATGTGAACCTATTTAGTCCAAAATTCTGTTTGCACATCACCACCATTTGCCTGTGGAAATCCCACAATGCAGTGTAAGTGCAACTTGGCCTTCCATCTGGGTGGAGATCCCCAGCAATTAATACAGTGGACCCTCGACTTACAGACGGCTCGACTTACAGACTTTTCAAGTTACAGACTTCTCTGGCCGCAAAATTTAGATTTGACTTGCAGCCGGAGAATCGACTTACAGACCAGAAAAAAACCCAAAATGGAACAAAAATAGAATAAAAACTGCCAATTATGGGATTAATCGGTTTTCAATGCATTGTAGGTCAATGGAGATTCGACCTACAGACTTTTCGACTTGCAGCCACCGTTCCAATACAGATTAATTCCGTAAGTAGAGGGTCCACTGTACATAGAAGGATATAGCTTCTGAAACCATAGGCAATATAACACCGGCTTGACTGGGCCAAGCCTCCAAGAAAGTATATAATCCCCCTTTTTTGTTGTTATGTGCTGTCAAGTTAGAATTGATTTATAGCAACCCAAATAGGGCTTTCAAGGTAAGTGAGATATTTAAAGAGTGCTTTTACCAGTGCCGCACCCTCACTGAACTTCTATGGCTGAGCAGGGACTCAAACTCAGGCCTCCTAAAGCAGTCACTCAATCCACTACACTACGCCAGGTGGAACTACCTCTTTTTTAATTTATCCTCATGTTTCCCATCATTCATAGATGAACCACTTCTCTCATGTGGAGGGAGGTGTCAAGTTTCTTTTTATTTTATTTTTATAAAACAATAAATTGTTTATATATCTCTAATATGTCTTCTTCCCTTGCCCATTATTTTTCTAAGCTACCAAAGATAAGTATTTTCACTTTACTTCCAAGTAGGGTTGCTCCAGTGACTTCGTCATACTGGTTGCTTTCTTCTCCACAGATCTACAATACACACATCCCCTTGTTTCATTTCCCTCAGACCCCTAGTGAATGAGCGGACTAGTTTGATTCCACTTCATAAGAGAGCACATTTAGGAAAAGAGTGAAAAAGTAGCACTCTCTCCAGGATGGATGGAAATTAATGGAGTCTTTGTTAAAGGACTTGTCCCTGTGACAGGTGGATCGTATGCTGTGGATTCTCCTCTGCCTCTCCATTTCTCTTGCCTCTCTTGGCAACCACTTTTTCTTGGATTTTCTGTTTCCATTCATTCTTTCCCTTTCTGTGAATTCTAACACTTCAAAACTGTAAACAAATGCACGCATTGTTGAGTAGCATTTCCCAAGTTGTCTAAGAAATTAGTAAGAAAACATGTTGCTAAGCATGGCAAAATATTCTTCTGCCAAAAAAGGTAATCTCTCAACAGGCTTCAGATAGAAGATGGGTGCAGAGGAGGCTTACTGTAATTTGTATCACAGTGCAGGCAAAATCTCACACCCCCAATGCTATGGTCTTAATCGATGCATATGTGTCTCCACAGCTAGCTCCACTCCCAATAGCTGAGGTTTTGGGTGGTGCCGATGTGAAGGATTTGGTTTTTGGGATCATGGGCTAAACTTTCTAGATGATGGACTGCTAGCAAGAAATGACTTGCACCTCACAAGGACTGGGAAGAATGTGTTTGGCCACAACATGAAGAACTTCATCAGGAGGACTTTAAACTGAACTTGAAGGGAGAGGGAGAAAGAGATAAAAATGGGGAGTAGTAGCACCAGTAGGATGAAACATGATGAACTGGTTCATGCCCATCCCTAGTGGTGAGTGCTCCAATTCTGGAGGCATTCAAGAGAAATTTAGACAACCATGTGGCAGGTGTCCTTTAACTTGTATTCCTGCATTAAGCAGGGATTTGGACTCAATGGCCTTATAGGCCCCTTCTAACTTCTTTATTCTCTGATTCTATGAAACTGTGCAAGCAATGCTAAATAATATCAGTATGTTTCATACACTGGAAAAATGAATGAATGGGGAAGGAGGAGCAGTAACTGACCTTTTCTCACCCATACAACTATTTCCTGATCACTTCTGTTGATGAAACTCAGTAAAATTGTATCTGGGCATAAAATCACTGAAGATGTCTTATTCTTATAGCTTGCAATGAAATAGCAAAGATTTTGCAAATACAAGATGTATGTCTGAACGCACCCTTGAATCAGACAGTTCCTCTTTCCAAAACATGATAAGGAAGATTAGGAAGCAAGAAATGTAGGCCAGAAAGCCAAACGAGAATTCAGCTCCTCATCTATTCCAGGTGATAGATGGGGAAACCAGTGAAAATGCCATCCTCTACTAAAGTCATACATTTCAGGGAGTCTTTCAGGTGACTTCCAAAACTGGAAAGGCAGGCTGAACTGCTCATTTTTCCAGGCAATCCATTAGTTAAGGAGTATGAGGGAAAAGAGTTTCCTCCTCCACACTGTTGTGTAGTAAAGGCACAATTAAAGGTGTTTGTTTTAACTTTTTCAGCCCCTAAATTAAATAGCTTGCCTCATTATCAAGCCTACAGACATTATAAGATCTTTAGGACAAGCCCTTATTCAGAAACTCAGTCTTTCCTTCAGTGGGCAGAGGTACTGTACATGCCTTCACCAATAATCTCATAAGGTAGATGGAACTGGCAGACAGACTGGCCATACCACTTGGGAATTTTAGCTCTAGCCCAAAAAGGCAACTTTAGCTCGCTGGGATATTATACAAAGTTATTTTACACTATAACACTCATTATTAGAAATGATAAAAACTAACAGAGGCAACCTGCAGACAGAAAGACAACTGGAAGGACAATATTGTGGCTTATTAACCTCAATAAAAAATAATAAATAAAAAACCACTGTGTCTGAAAAATATACATGTTACCCGGATAATGGAAAAGTGTGGGATGAAGATATTTAAAGAGGCCATTGGTAGCTTGTTAGATACCATGTTTTCAGATAGCCTTCCCTGACATGGCAGCTCCCAGATGTGTTAATCTGAAAATACCATCATGCCCAGCAAGAAATAAGACTGAAAAATTTGTAGTTCAGGGCATCTGGAAATGATCGGGATGGTGAAGAATAAAAAAAAACTATTTTGTGGATCCAAACCTCAAATTGTCCCACCAGGGAGTGGCGAGAATAGTGTCATCAGTGGCCTCTTCTAGAATGTTGTTCAAAACTACAGTAAGTAACGACATTTAACTTAACTGTTAAAACATTACAAATTCTGTCCAATATTACTGAGGCAAGCCAACTTTGGATTTCTGGATCTTCAGACTAAAATCTTAACTAAAGTGATTGTACAATTGTTCTAGCTGAACCTGAGTTAGATAATTCCAGTCTTGCAATAGCAGGAGGTATAGCAATTTTGCAGAATTTTCCTCCACACAGAGTACAACTCAGTGAAAATTTGTTGTTGTTGTTGTCACATGCCGTCAAATAATCTCTGACTTTTAGCAATCCTATGAATGAATGAGTTCCAATATGTTCTATCACTAGGAGCCTTGATCACATCCTGCAAATACACTGTTGTGGTTTCCTTCCTTGAGTCAATCCATCTAATACTTGGTTTTCCTCTCCCCCCCCCCACTGCCTTCGCTCTTTCCTAGCATGAATGTCTTTTCCAACAAGCTGCATCTTTTTGTTGTACCAGCACTTTATCTTGTGTAACTCTATGCTTTTGATATCCCCACATCCTTGAAAAGAAGAAAGTTTGAGAGGGTTTCCTCACTATAACTGATACCCTTTTTGAAGGGAGGGGTTTTCTGCTAGCAACTCTTTATTAGGGAGCAGATCCCTTGGCTGACCTCTGGATCAGTCAACAGAAAGTAAGCAATGGGAAGGACTTACAGTACATCCTAGACCAGTGAAAGAGACTTGATGCCAATGCTGTGTAGTGCGGACACAGGCCTAAGATTTGTCTAATGATATAGGAGCTGGTAGGGCTCCTATATCACTTCTGATTGTCTTGGAAATCTATGTTATATTTTCTTTCAATGGAGAAAGGGGTAGAAATTATTCAAGCATGTACAGAATTTTATTTAAGTTTTTTAAATAATAAGGCTAGTTAATTTTAAAAAAATAAGTTAAGACTACAAAACACCTCATATATATTAAACCAAGAGGAGTCATGGAGATGTTCAGTGCAGCAAAAAAAAGGCAAAAAGAATAAACAGTCAGAGGTTATGAAGATACAATCTAGTTTTTTGAAGACAAGTACAGCTGGATACAATGCCTATAAATTTGTGTAATATACGTGCTGGTTCAGTTGATTTCCCAATACCTGCTCTTCCCTCTGTTTCCAGCAGAGTGCAAAGAAAGAAAAGTCACTATTCAGCAATGCCACAGATACTGTGGACACTAAGCAATGTGTCTTAGATCTTTATTAAGCCATAATGAAGATATCTGTCTGAGGGTGGCAGAGTGATTTTGTTTTATTATGCAATAATAAATACCTCTTAGGGTGACAGAAGAAAACTGGAAAGGCACCTGAGTCCAGAGCTAAACTGAGTCCATACCTCAAACTTCCAGACATCTCCTGAAGGATGACACAAAGGTAATGGATGAAGATACACTTTTGGTAATGGTGATGGAGCTCATCAAAAGCAATTTCTATCTTTCCTAACAACTGGGGGTGAATTTCTCTTTCTTTTTTGTCATTCTCCTTCTTCAGGATGATCATTTTATTAAGATAATTTTGTGTTATGTTTATAAAATTGTATTTAATACTTTGATTACTTGGAAGAGAGCTTTCTAGGTGGAAGTTAGGGGGAGAAGCAGGGAAGGGTTTGTTTTACCCCTCCAGTTTATGAATTAACTTTAAAGGTGCCGCATTCTTACCATCTCCTTGAATCACAGCTACAGACAGCAAGGCTTGCTAGATAGTTCAGTGGCTTCTTTATTAGTTGGGAGTTAAATACGCCACTGTGCTTCCTGAGAGGCACTGTTCCTCCTGAGAGAAGAGTCAGCCTGTCTAGCCTTAGGAAAACATCACAAGATGCCCTCAAAAAACAGGAATTATAAACCATTTCTGAGAACTTAGTATCTGAAAAAAAACTAAAAGGGGTCACCAGAAGAAAGAACTGACTTAACAGCACACATTAATTAGTATTAAGAACAGTGAATGCACAGTGTGTTTCCAGGCAGATTATTCTGAATCCAAAATAACGAAAAATACAGATTGTAAAATGCAGAATGATGTCCAGTGTGGTATGGTGCACAGAGTAACAGACAAGGACAGAGAAGGTCTCATCAAATCCCTGTTCAGCCATGGAAGCTCATCGGGGTGTGTGGAACTGATAAAACCTCTCCTTAAAATATACTCCCTTAAAAACCCTATTAGGGTCTCTATAAATCATTTCCAATTTGACAGCACATACCATAGGATACATTCAAATGGGCTTTTTTGAAAACAAACTACACTTGAAGACACAATGGATGGAAATTACTGTAACCATACCCTTAACATGCTGACAATTCCCTGCAGAAGTTTAATCCTATTTGTATTACACTGCTAGTTCTATCTTTTTTTTAAGTGTGAAAGGAAACATATTCTAGTACTTTAAATCCAGAATAATTTGAAGCAAGTAGGGAGGGAATATACAGTGTTAGAAAGCAAAACATTAAGACAACCCCAGGGCATGCAATATTATATTGCCAGGTTTAATGGAGAAACGGTGGGCATGAGGCCAAGGAAGGCAGTGGCCTCTAACACTCACACACCTGAGAAAGTGTAAAGGATTCTCTTGTGGGTGTAATCTACAACTTGGTCTTGAATTAGAGGATCCCACTGCATGGTATAGCTCTTTCCAGTTTGTACATGGGAGCCAGTCAGATGGAGGGGAAACACAATGGCCCTGTGAAGGGCAAAGTACGACTACAAAAAGAATGATTTTGCCTATTAGGAATCACTCAGCACCAGTAAGATTTGAACAGCCTCCCAAACAAGCCATTCAATCCCAAATTAGGGGTGTCAAGGAAGTAGATGCATGCTTGCATTAAATATTCATGCTTTGTGATCTCGGCATCACCACATGACCACAGCCTCTTCCTTACATCCCACCTTCTCTGCCATACCTTGCGTGAAAAGGACTCATCCTGCTGACTGTGCTTTCCCATCTGCTTAATCCCCACCCCACCCTGTGGCATTCCCCCTTCTTACTTGTGACATGAGTGGGTGAATGAAATGTTGGATCCTAGAGTATCAAGATAATTACTGCAATTTACTCTGCATCTTCTGTGAGTAGACGGCCTCAGTTTGCAAAGTGAGTGTTTTGCATTCATGACTACACTTCTGCTGAGGTCAGTCAGAGAGATAGGCTAGACTGGATGAATGCTTATCTATTTAGCAAAGAAATCCCTTTCTTTCTTTCTTTCTTTCTTTCTTTCTTTCTTTCTTTCTTTCTTTCTTTCTTTCTTTCTTTCTTTCTTTCTTTCTTTCTTGTTCCTCAGCAAGGCAGATTTTCCAGACTAAGTGGGGGAGACTACACGTGAATAGGGCTTATCCTTCTTGAACTAAAAGATACCTCAGCTCAGATTACACTACAAGTTAATTGACTGTGTCTTCTCTTTCTTTTTTTCCTGCTAGATAGAAAAGTGAAGACAGCATTTCTTCATGAACAGAGTATTATTTGATTTCTCTTTTTTACCAAAGATGGCAGCAGAAAACACAAACTACACTCTAGAGCTACAACTCCCAGTCTGGTCTACTTATCTCTTAGAAGGTTGTCAGCACTTCATGATATATCCTTTGACAATGCTAGCAATTCTGATAGTATTATATTATCCTTTACTTTTTTCATTCTCTGTGCTCTATATGGGCAGTGCATATTATGCCTTTTGTAGAAAACTTTATGACTTACCAGATGATATCAAGAGTGAACAATGGAGAAAACCAAGGAAAATGTTGGCACTTGTGTCAGATGTTGTTGGCAAGATATTACATGGTGAGCGTCTTCTAATCCCTAAAAGGCTGAATTTTAAATAATTTTGACACTATGAGAATCCAAGTATTCTTGCACTATGTTTTGACAAAGCAAAGCATTTTGATCGAGAACTGCAGCCCAATAAACCTGAGCAATACAGTTATGAACAGAATTAAAGGAAACTAAGCATTGTACTTTGTATCATGGACACCATACATAATGTCTAGAACATAACCACTCTCAGACTTTTGTACTGGTAGCCATTTCTGCAATGGGGCTTAGAATCATGTATCTTATTCTATTTGTAACCGGGAGAACATACGAGAGTAATATAGTCTGACAGGACAGTTTAACAAGCTTTGCTGAGCTCAATTCATATTGTCTCATACTGTACTTTCTCCATTTTGCTTAACCTTTAAAATTCTCTTTATTTGTAACACACTAAAAGCAAACAGTATCACACTTGATTTCTGGGCATTTCCCTAATGCTTAATAGAAAAGTAAATCCTGAGTTGGTTTATCAGTACTCATAAAGCAAATTTCTCATCAACATAAGATAGTAAAATATCTTCCCCCTTGTGGTCTTGGATGTATTTTGCATTTTTTCCGTGAATGTGCAAGAATTATAACTATGACAATGGTCTAGTAAAAGTAGTAGCCCCTAGCTGGATAATTGCAGCTCTGTGATCTATTAGCTATCCCACTATGCTTGCTGTCTTTGTGTGCTTAGTTTGACCAAGGGAAAATGCATGGATTTTGCACAGAAGCAGTGTGCTGACTACACCACATATAGTATGAAAATAATGGGAAAATACCCTGGCACTGATAAGTTTTCAGGAAAAAATTGTGAAATCACCAAGATGTTTTCTCTCACTCTTGAGAAAGCCACTGTCAAATAAAATTTCTCCATCTGTGAGATATCTTCTTAAACTGAGTGTGCTGTTCATTCCTTCTTCATATAATTCCTTCATATTCTTAAGACTCAGGATATAATTTAATGGTTTTGGAGGAGGGGAGGAATATCTTTTGTTCAGGGAAACATTTCAAATGTCACTACCACTCTGACTTTCAAAGATTTTAAAAATCTTTAATGCATAAAGTTTGATATGTTCTAAAGTTTCATATTAAGGAATGTTTTTATTTTTACAACTGTTCTGTTGTACGGCCTTCCTCCTAACATTTTTTGTATCCTTCTGGAATACAGATTGTTATGCAGTATCAGCATGAAACCATACTGAGGCCATTGTGTGTTGTACATTGACAGGTTATGAGGTCTGTGGAATAGAAAACCTACCAGAAGGACCGGCCATTTTGCTTTATTATCATGGAGCTTTAACTGTGGATTATTATCTCTTGGTATTACGCATCTATAGACACACTGGTAGATTCTGCTGTTCTGTGGTAGACCATCTTCTTTTCAATATGCCAGGTAAAACAAACAAACAAACAAAAATCTCTTTTATTTATGAGCAGTACTTCTTAATGGTGCCTTTTATAGGCTGTAATTAATATTCCAGAATATTCCAATAAGTCTCTTGTCATTTTCTAATTACCATCTAGATTCTTCAATAGGTTGCATCCAGATTATTGCTGAAAATATACACCACACAACCTTCAGAGTAGCTTTCCTCTACATTGTAAAAAGGCAAACGTATACTAGCCAGAATGTAAATAAACTGTGGTGGATAAAGGTTGAATGGGGATTGTCTTCATAACCCCTTCCTCTCTGGTAGTTCCCCAGCTCGGAATTTTGCTTCTGAAATCTTTTTCAGTCTTCAGATGGAAATCTAGGAAAATACTGCTCCCTTTCCCCTGATACGTATACATAAGATACAACTTACTTTCTTTCTGTCAGAAGTACCACAGTACATTTCATAAACATATCCAAAATATTTTGCTGAGGAACAGACATCATCATCGCCGCCTAGAGTGGACGAGTAGTCCAGATAGGCAGGGTATAAATTAAATAAATAATAATAATAATCAAGAGTATTGAGGGCCACTAGCACCAAATCTCACAGTATGGGTTGAGGGGTGAATTATACAACACAGATATGAAGTTGCCTTTCCTCCTCTACACTTGCAAAGGACTGTATCTGTGTGAAAGCCCCATATTCACACAATTTCACCTTGGTTCTGCCAACCCCAGTCTGTGGCCTATTAAATTACCTCCAGGTAACTCAGCTATCTAATGTGGTCAGAAGCTAGACTTTTCTGGTGTTCCATCAGTTTTAAGAGATTGTACTTCTTTCTTTCCACATTATGATTCTAGAATTCTTTGCTCTTCTGTAAGGATTCACATGCCTTGAGGAACCTTTTCCTTGATTTTAATCTGGAAGGTAGCCATAGAGTGGTTGTGCATTTGAGTCATTCATTATTAGCTGCCATATGTCTCTGTGTGTACATCACTGGGTACACTGCATGCTGGATAACTGATTTGATTAATAAGGGCTGGCTTCAGGCATCCAGTAATGATTCCACAGCTTTCACCAAATGCTACATCTACCTGTTTTGCATTGGTTGAACTGTACCAGCGTATTTACTAGTAGAATAGTATAAGGCCAAGGCTCCTCTTGCCTTCACACTTTCCCAACATCAGGATCTGATCAATTCATTGCTGATCAATAGTACTTAATGATCAGCAATGAAATAGGCAGCTGAGAGATCAAGAAAGCTACAACTGTGTCTTCGTAGTTTCCTTGCCATTTTTTAGACCAACAATGCATCAGTCTGCAAACTGATTCTGAATTTGCAGTGCTGGCTCACAATGAGCCCACTCCAAATCTGTCTGACCATCAATAGTCCCATTCCACAGGAGATACAAGCTCTATGAAACATTTGTCTGGTTGCAGAAATATATGAAAAGTGAAAAGACCATCTTGAGTATCTATAACCCAAGGATGGAGAAACAACTGCCTTCAAGACATAGGAAACCAGAACTTAAACTTGAAAGAAATTAGCAACTAGAGACCAGTGACCTTACAAGATCATTTGTCTTAATTGAATTGGAAATTAGAAGAGATGTGAAAAAGGAGGTTGGAGAGACAGAACTTAAAAGGGACAGAAGTCGCTATGGGGAATGTTTCCTTCCTCTGCTCAGATGCACCACTTTGATAAGACCAAGAAACTCATGGTGGGAAGAATCAAAGAACTCCCTGAAATATTTCAATTTATAGCTGCAGTCATTCCCATCTGTTAAAAAAGTTTATTATTAAAACATTTGATAGTTTTGGAAGGGGGAGAAAGCCACTGAGGGAATAGGATCCTGAGTACCTTACTATATAAATATGTCTTGTTAAAGGGGTGCTACTTACTGTGAGTGCACTGGCTATTTTACAATGACAAGGAGACCAAACAGTGAGCAGTGAAAAGGATCTCTCCTCTTTTCAAGCAGAGAAAGGAAAGGGGGGGATTCCTATACAGAAGGCCCTGGAGCCAAGCTGACAAGGCTTCTGATTCTGAAATTTGCAACTCAAGTACGGAGCAGAGATCCACAAAAAGAAAGGAATTCTATAGCTGTTCACATCTCCACCCTCTTCTGCACCTTCTCTGAGCACTGAGGAAGAATCCATGAGTAATACTCACTGTCTGTCTTTGAGATGGTGCTTTATCAATTCCCAGGACAACACAAGTCACTCCAGGGCTTTCTGGCACCCATGGAATATAATGTGAGGCCTGATTGAAATTATTCTTATTACTGTTGAATGTAAAGTTAAAGCCTAAACAAGAGACTACCTAGAACTACAAATCCAGAGCTTGGAAACATTCCTTTTTGCTTTGTTTTGTTTGGAGTACAGCTCCCGTGCTCAAAAAAAAGGGGAATGGCAATCACTCATGTCATATCTGAGAATACCTGCATGAATTTGGCACAGGGACTGAAGGGCAGGAGAATAAGCCCAAAATCTGTCCCATATATTCATTCATATGCAAATGATCAAAGTTTCTTTTTCGATTTGCTTGTTCATATGTGGGAAATAATAACATATATATATTTTCTCCCCCCACCCTTTTAAAAAAACATGTGTGAGGTAAGTTTCTCTAAAGCACTAAGCCTTATATTGAAACAAAACAAACTTAGGGGGGGTTGTCTGTTTATGGGCTTCCCTCAGTCTGCATTTGCCAAGTTAGCTTGCTTTTTATTATTTAACTGGTCAGTTGGGGAAAAACATGGATTCTGCTTTTGTTCTTCTTCTTGTTGTTGTTGAATATCTGATGTCTTGGGCAGATTTTCCTAACTGGAGGAATAGTGTTGTAAACCACTTCTGCCTTATTGAGGACCTGAGATTTAGTCTTATTATTGTAGGACTACAGCGGTATTTTCACATCAATTATTGTTCTCACCCTACAAGAGAAGACTGTGTGGAACTTCTGAGGAAAGGGAATCTAGTGGGCATTGCACCAGGTGGACTTCGAGAGCAAAACTATGGAGATCATACGTACAAACTTGTGTGGGGGAAACGTAAAGGATTTGCGCAAGTAGCCATAGATGCAAAAGTGGTAAGTCATATGACATTTTTAGTATCCATGGGAGGAGCTTTGCAACAGTTTATTTCCCCTTCACAGCTGATGCAACTTTTGTAATTACTGTATATCTTTCTCTTTCTATCTCTTCCCATCCCTTTCTCACAGAGACTAAGATTAACGGTCTCGTCTTCCTGTGCATGAGTCTGCTCTTCATGTTTTGAATCTGAAATAACAATATCTATGTTTTGTTCTGTCCTAGCCCATTATTCCTGTGTTCACTCAAAATATCAGAGAAGGATATAGAACCTATGGTCGCATAAGTAAGTTAAACGGCATACATCCTTTTGAATTTGTTTTTCTCAGATGCAAGTCTAGAAACATTTAGTTAATGAACTCAGTAGGATTTTGCGTAAAAATAGCTGTTTTGCCTATTTCAGCATGCAAAAGAAAAGGAAATATTGCAGTATTAAATTTTATTTCATTTGGAGCTTTCATGCATCAAACTGAAAAAGTGAATTTTGATCCATGAAAGCTCACATGGAAATCAAATGGTTGTGCAGTTATGCAAAGGATGTAACTTTTGGAACACGCCAGCATTATCTGTTGCATGCCAAGTCATGTGATTCAATGTAAAACAAATGTCTAGGGAGATTCCTTAATTTACAGCAATTTGCTTCTAAAAGTTATACATGTTGCATAACTGTGTAACAGCATTTCAGCCAGTAATGGACAAGTGCTGGAACTATGCACATACATTACATGTGTCTTGGCCTTCTCTGAAAATATGGGGGTTTTGGCAAATTTTGATTGACTTTTGGCATCACCTGGCAGGACAAAGTTCTGAACAGTGTAGTCCTACAACGAGGTGGAATTTTTAGCATGTAATCATTACTGAAACAACAACCATCTACATTGGCTTGGGCATGTTGTGAGAATGGCTGATGGTTAAATTCCAAAAGATCTTCTATATGGAGAATTAGTACAGGGAAAGTGCCCCAGAGGGAGACCACAGCTGCAATACAAGGATATCTGCAAGTGGGATCTGAAGGCCTTAGGAATGGACCTCAACAGAGGGGAAACCTTGACATCTGAGCATTCAGCCTGGCGGCAGGCAGTGCAGCATGGCCTCTCCCAATTTGAAGAGGCACTTGTTCAGCAGGCTGAGGTAAAGAGGCAGTCCTGAAACCAGCAAAATCAGGGAGCAAGAGGTAGCTGTGTTAGTCTGTCTCAGCAGGTTGACAAAAGGGGAAAAAAGTGGAGTCTCTAGACTAAGAATTTTATTTTATCATCCTGCATGGTTCATGCTAAAGAAGAAGACTTTGAATTCTGAAAGCTCACACTGAAATAAAATTGCTAGTATTTGAAGTACCACAATATTTGTTTGTTTCTCTTTCTTCCCCCCCCCCACCTTTTCTTTTGCCAACATAGGGTAATTTTCTTGGATTATACAAAAAGCCTTGTTAATGAATCATATACTGAGCTGTTAAGTCTATTTGTTGCTGCCAAAATAGCCATAGCAATAATAAGGTGGAGGCAGAGTCTCCTGTAAATGATTCCCTCTCTGAAACAATGGCCTATTAACAAACTGACAATTTATTAGAGCATGCGAAGAAATTATATCAAAGCAACAAAAGAATTTTTTGGATGGCAAGCAATATTTTTATCCATTCAAGTGGAAAACCAAACATTCCATTTTGGTTTTTTTTTATGAATTGTTGTAGAAAAGTGTATTAACAATAGTCTTAATAAAATGAAATTAAAATGAAAAGGAGCTAAGATTTATTATATATTAAAAGAAAGGATTATAACCTATCTCCCCCCCCCACACACACACACACACAAAGGCAATTTAATATCACAGGACTCCTTTCATGGGCATAGTTAATTCCAAGTAATTCTGTATAATCCTCATTTCAGAAAAACAAATGAATACATCCTTCTATCATCTAATAAGGCAGCTCCTGGATTATTCACAAGGCATTTGATTGATTGATTGATTGATTGATTGATTGATTGATTGATTGATTGNTGATTGATTGATTGATTGATTGATTGATTGATTGATTGATTGATTGATTGATTGATTGATTGATTGATTGATTGATTGGATGGCCACAGTCCAATGAAGCACTCAGCTCTTTCCTTCATGCCTGAAATGAGGAGAGAAATGAATTCTCCTGCTAGTAGATTAATGATCCATGAAAGAGTCAAAGTAGATAAAATCTGTGAATCATCAACAGCAGCATCGCTGACATTACTGACTATCTTTCTCATAATATTGACCCTTTTCTGATGTGTTGTGAAAGACAGTTTGTGCTACCACATAGTGCCATGGCTGAATCTGTTGCCCTGAAAATTTCATGTATGATTTGTCACGTGTTTCATAATGTTAGAGCAATGGCATGGTTGCAAATTCTATGGGCAGGAACTTTATATGCTTTATTATGCTGGAAAATGCTCTGTGATTAGTAATGATACTGCTGGGAAATCTTACCTTGAAACAAGCTCTATACGTACAATGCAGGTTCATAACTGCAGCCATAATATTTTGTGGTAATACAACCTCAAATTCTTTATAACATGTGTTGGAGCCACAAAAATAATGTTCAGAATTTCAGGAAATACAGAGAGGGTCACTTGTCCTTTTTTTCGACATATGAGCTCATCAGCCTTTTATATTGCTTGAGCTGATACTGGAGTGTATAATGTTATCTACAAATATAAACATTAAGACATATATAATTTCAAACACAAACTTCATCTACAGTCTGTTGCTATATGAACTCAAATGTATCTTAATTTCATATACAGGAATAATGAAATGGATTTATGAAAGAACACGGACCATCTTCTTTCCAGTATATGGACTAATTCCAGTCAAATTGTGGACACATATTGGACAACCAATTCCATATGATCCAAATATAACTGCTGATGAACTGGCTGAAAAAGTGAGTGTTTTGTATTCTCGAAGGCTTTCATGGCTGGGATCTGATAATTACTGTGGGTTTTTCAGGCTCTTTGGCTGTGTTCTGAAGGTTGTTCTTCCTAATGTTTTACCAGTCTCTGTGGCCGGCATCTTCAGAGGACAGGAGTCAAAACTCTCTCTGTGCTCTGGTGCAGTTTGTTTGGATAGTTGAGTATTTATAACTGTGGGATCAGTTTTTGTCCTTTTCAGGGTTGCATTGACAGGGTTCAGGGTTCCAGTCGTGTCCAACTCTAGGGCATGGTGCTCATCCCTGTTTCCAAGCCATAGAGCCAGCGTTTGTCCGAAGACAGTTTCTGTGGTCACGTGGCCAGTGCGACTAGACATGGAACACCGTTACCTTCCCACCGAGGTGGTACCTATTTATCTACTCACATTTTTACATACTTTCGAACTGCTAGAAGACATTTTAAAACTCAACGAAGCCTGGCTCCCAGCACTGAAAAATACAGCCTGAAAAAGGTCAATGAACTCTACAAAGCCACAAGGACTGGTGATCACTACACAGAAAAAACCAGCTAATGACACCCATCAATCACAGTGACAGATAATCTCTCCCCCTTAACACAACAATACACCCACAACAAAAAACACGCTGATC